ATAATTTCTTTCGTTATTATTGGTCTTTGTATATTCATTAATGTTTGTTCTTTGATAAAATACGATTGTTCTATCAAAAATATATCTATTTTTGGTTTTCTAATTATTATAAATAAATTATCGACGAACAAACAATTAATGATAGAGAACAATCAAGAACAAACCACGAACTAAAGAAAAGTGATAACGAAATATGAAAAATTAAAAAAAAAATTGGGGGGCTAACTTCAGTGAGCCTTATCAACGTTTAATTTTAGGAAGGTAATGATAAATTTTAATGCATTTCGAAAAAATATCATCCATGTGGAGGGAGTAGTTTTACAAGCAAGTAGATGGTGTTGCGATGGGCTCACCTGTATCTCTCATTATCGCCGATATAATCATGGTAGATTTTGAAGAGAAAGCCCTCCTTACTGCACCAGTTACGCCAAGTTTCTACAAGCGGTACTTAAACTATACTTTTACAATTTTACCATCAGACAAAATAACTGCATTTTTAGAACATCTTAATTGCATAAACTCTAAAAAACAATTTACTATGGAGTAGTGTAGTCATCCGAAATCCTAACAACAACATAAGTCACCTATTTGTATGGGTCTTTTATCTATACACTATGTATAGAAAAAAGACCCATACAAACCGGTATTTAAACGGTGAATCTCACCACCATCCTTCACAATAAGCTACCGAGGGCAAATCTTTCTGCACGACAACATGCTTCGTGTCCCGAAAACATCGTGAGGAAACCTGCATGTCTGAAGAATAAGAAAAAAAAATAATTCGAAGACATGTGAAGTTCGTCAACACGCATTGGAGCGGCGCGGCGGACACTTCCTTGCCCTAAAACCCTCTCAGAAATGAGGGGAGGCCTGTGTCCAGTAGTGGGACGTATATAGGCTGTAACTTTACTTTACTTTCAAGTGCCATAGCCAAGTATCGAAAGGTCGCCTGATGATGTCGAGCCACGTTGGATGTGTGTTAGTGGGCTGCAGCTAGAGGGGATTCCTCTCCCTGTGCCGCTGTAGTTGAGGTGGAGTCGTAAGGGAAGAGGAGTGTTGGTATGGCGATTGGCGATGCGCCACTCGACTGTCTTTCGCGACCTTGGTGAGGCTGCACCACTTGATGCTTCCAAGTGCTCGTTTTTCCCTGGCTCCATTCACATATCGGGCTCGGTAATTGATAATTTCAGTTTTTTTTATATTGTAATTCTAATTTCGAAAATGACGCAAATAACTGATAACTATGTAATTCAAAGTTTATTATTTTTTATATTATCTTGCTAGCTTGCGCATTGCTGCCGCAGAAGTAATTGTGGAAATATCATTAAAAATGTGGAACAGTTATATTGTATAATTAGGAATGATAATACAATAATTGAAATAGAATGATATATAACTTTCAAATAAATAGCCAGTATAATACGCACGCCACCTTGTGTCAGTTAATTGTACCATACGTATAACCTTCGCACAAGTGCAACCAATAAGTTGACTAAGTTTTACCGCAATCTGATGAACGGTATGGCATCGTAGAAAGTACGAAATAACATAAATTTTTATATAGTAAAAAATATTTTACTGTCTATAGACAGACCTGTAGTTGATAAGAATAGGCGTTATTATAGCAGCTGATTTGTTTTTTATAATACTAAAACTAAATTTATTTTGTGTACTTAGTTTAATCTTAATAATTTTTTAGTTGAATGGTTAAGGGCTATAATGGCTATCCGAGTACAGAACCAGAGTACAAAACTAATCCAACTCCGAAATACTTTACCACTGCATTGGAAAACGTTTTCCACCTACTGGACTGGAAAGGATACGGTATTAACGTCAATGTCGTGTACGTCACTCACCTTCGATTTGCCTACAATATAATCCTTATGGCACAATCGCTGGAGGACCTACACACTATGTTCAATGACCACAATAGTATCTCCCAACGGATAGGTCTTATGATGAACATGGACAAAACAAAAGTCATGTGTAATGTCCATGTCACACCTATGCCGGTGGTTTTTGGGAGCACTTAGCTAAAGTTGTGGATGAGTATTTTTATTGGACCAAATAGTCCGACTAGGTAAGTTCAACTTCGACCGACAGGTCAATCGACGGATTAAACTCGGCTGTGCAGTGTTCGGGATATTACAACTCATCTTCACGTCAGGAATACCCCAAAACTAGATTGTACAACCAATGCGTATTGCCAGTGATGAAATATGGATCTGAGACGAAGTCTTACACTGCTGGCCATACGACGAAGTTCGAAGTCGCTCAAAAATCTATGAAGAGGGCTATACTCAGGGGTTCAAAATTAGGAATGAGGATATCTGCAGCAGAACCAGAGTGACGGACATCGCACAATGGATTAGTAAGCTAAAGTGGCAATTGACCGGCCATATAGCTCGAAAAACCGAATACCGATGGGGAAAAAAGGTCTCGAGTGGCAGCCTCGTACTGGCAGAAGAAGTGTGGAACGTTCCCCCACTAGATGGAGTCAAAACCTGGTAAAACATGCAGGAAGTTGATTGATGCAGATAGCTCAAGACAGGGATTTGTGGCATTCCTTGCGGGAGGCCTATGTTCAGCAGTGGATTTATGAAGGGTTTTATGATGATGAATGATAATGGCATTATATTAATATGATACATAAATAGAATGAACGTTACGGGTAGAGTCCACCTATCCATAGAGTCCATTCTATTTATTTAGGTATGGGTAGGGTATAGAATTTTTATCGATATAATTTGGTACACTGTCTTATCCCTAGTATTAGTTCCGTGGACGTGCACTTCTGCTGTCAGCGCCAAAAGGGCGGAAATCAAATCGCTTCATCATGTCACGGTGTATAGCCAGTCCAGCGTACTTGTATATATAGAGGTCAGTGTCCATCGAGTATATACTAGATCTATGGTCTATACACCATGCGAATACAGAGAAACCTATAGACAAATTGACGCCTTCTTTCGCATTCGCACACGAAAGAGAAAGATTTATGCGTATGTCTTGCATATAAATGAGACGATTGCGGTGTGATTGTCCCTTTCTCCGTGCCGGTTTTTTTTTGTTGAACTTTGACAGTTCGTAGCGATCTAAGGAGTTTACAAGTTGGTTTAAGTGGGAAAAAAGTGTTTTGTGAGCTTAAGATTGGTGAATCTTGTTCAGTTCAGTTCCTAGAACAATTAAAAATTTTATCGAAATATGTTTAAAAGTCATAAAGATTATTGTATAACCTAAAACTACGTTCTAACTAATCTCCTTTCTCACTTGACGCCACGCTAGTCATTTGTCTATAGGTTTCTCTGTCTACGTCTATCTACGACATCATGATATTCAAAGACTATGGTACTATCACGTACTTTGTTACAGTATCGTATAATCAATTAATTTATTTAGCGTTTTATGTACCTACTTTACGTAGGTAGTGATTTATGTAGCACTCTATAAACTATAGATTTCAATTATAATATTCTTTATCTATTGGAATATACCAAATGTACTCTATGACCAGTGTTGCCACATATACAGATTTCCCCCGTATTTATACAGATTTTCGGTGTGTGATACAGATTAACACTGGGTACAGATTTTTATACAGAGTTTTCTAACTATATTGATTGGATTACCATAATATTCAACTTCAAATAGAATGAACCAAAATAAGTGACTAGATACCGCGTTACACACATTCATGATACTATTCTTTATGGTTAATTTATTTTTTCACAACGTAATTAGTTAGTATGGCAGAATTACAAGTGTATTACAAAATATGTATACAAGGTGTAAGTGTAAGCACCGTTGTCACTAAAACCATAGGTAATTGGCTTTAATATAAAAATATTTATCCGAATTCTAAAAAAAACCCTATTTTCTTTCATAAAATTTAAGAGGTTTCTGTCCGAAACCGTCCGTAAATTCATGGATACCCTATGCGCCCGGGTGACGTAATCACTGTAAAGATCACCGCCCGCGCTAGCTACCTACACTATATTCCAATAAAAACACAATAGGTACACATAACCTGTGATATAATTTTCCCTTCATACTTTCACCCTGGCTTACGTCAGGAAAAATTGAGGAATTAAGGAAAAATTGAGATTTTGCTAAAAAAAATTTTGTTATTTTTCATTGAATTTACGTTTTATAAGTGAAACCAAACCACTGGTTTCAAGGATAACGGTGTTTACACTAACGCCCTGTTTATAAAATATGTATGACTGAAAATAATAAAGTATTTATATGTTCATTTGGCAAATGTTTGAGTTTTAATATTTTGTTTGCTTAAATTAATATTTTCAATTTTGCTATATAAAAAATGTGTATAGTGTATATTTTATACGTAGTAGAGCCACGTTGCAGCTATATTATGGTTGCAGCACTGCAACCATAATAGCTGACGCTCGACCGGGGAAGGACCACGCTCTCACAGAATACCAGCGTAAAATACCAGCTTAATACTGCTGTGTTTCGTATGGTGAAAGTACAAATCCGGAGACCCTTTTTACTGAAAACGAGGCATCCCCTCTTGGTACTCAGGCGTGAAAACGTATCAGCGTTTTAATTCTTAAGCGAGGATAAATGTAGATGTCTATGTGCCACAGCATCCACTTACCATCGGTGGACTGTGTGCTCGTTTGTCACGCTTATTCTTTAAAAAATATTTTTATTTAATAACGATAATCAAACCTTATCTGCTTATCACGTTAGTAGTTATTCCTTGTTTTTCGAAAAAAGCAATGATGATGATGATGATCAATTATTCTATTTTGGTTTATTAAATTATACAGATTTTAAGTTTAAATAGCATACAGATTTAATACAGATTTTAGCAGTGTCTAATACAGATAAAAGGTTCAAGACATCTGGCAACACTGTCTATGACACACACATCTGTCAACGTCAACTGCAACATTACTAGTGTCGATTGAAAACGAAAAACACAACTTGATTGCCGCAGACAACTTGTAGACGGAAGGAATAATAAAAAATTTCTGACAATGGCAAATAAAACTGATAATTCTTTAAAAGTGAATCCGGAAAAAGTTCCTCTTGAAACTGATCAGGGTATTTTGGAGAGCGAAGAGCGGAAATGGGGAATGCCTTTAAAAGAAGTTTACAAACATGGACTCGCATTCTATAAAGGTAAATTTTTACCTTTTACATTTTTAAAGATTGCATTACATTTTAATGTTTATTACATTAGTAATGGACTTTTCGTGTTTCACTATCTAATATCGTGAAAATAAGTTGATACTATCTAATCACGAAAGTAAGTGGTACAGTATACAATTGTATAATTTAGATAAAAATTTAAAGTACTTTTGTTAACTATGAAGCTAAACCAACTTTATCATTTAATGCAGAACATCTTTCATTAAGGTCTAGCTAGCTATACGCGATCTCATTCATCCGTGAAGAATTTAAACAAAAAAAAATGCAGATCCATAGTGGTCCTCGGACAAGTAGTTCAAATATCGCATTACCACTTAGGGTTACATTACGACTTAAATACTGAAAGCACTTTTGTTTTAAAGTGGTGCTGCAGTAAAAAATAATGAAATTCGCACAATTTTGCTCAAAAGTGACCTTCCTCATAATGCAATTTTTTTATTGAAATTCTGTAGTCAAAGGCACTTTGTTACTGGTTCTTACTATACCCAATTTTAGAATAAATTAGTTTCTCATAAGTTAAGCTAGTTTTTTCTAAGCCCTGAGCATTGACCATATGTTTGTGGCTGTGGTTCATGCAATTAAAAGCTTTTTACTTGTTAATAATTTTAATCAATATTCAGGACAATTACATGTTGAAAGGAAAACAATTAATGAACCATATATTCTTCTTCATGTCTTATTTAAAATATCGTAGAATAAGTCACAATTAAAAAGTAATATTTAAATGTATAAGAATCTATAACATCCTCCCCACACAAGAAAAATATGAAAGTAGCGACAATATATAATTCAAAATACCTAGACATAACATGTAATTGAATTAAGTTAATTTGGGACTTTGTATAAGAGACTTTCTGCAGAGGGTGTACAAGCTTCGGTCCCTTTTTGGCTATTTCGTGTTTCTCAGATCCGTTGATTTACTTTTTTTTTGTTTAATATTTGTGTTGGTGTTGGTTTTAAAGTAAAAGTAAAGTTACAGCCTATATACGTCCCACTGCTGGGCACAGGCCTCCGCTCATTTCTGAGAGGGTTTTAGGGCAAGGAATTGTTCGCCGCGCTGCCCCAGTGCGTGTTGGCGAACTTCACATGTCTTTGAAATATTTTTTTCCTTATTTCTCTGACATGCAGGTTTCCTCACAATGTTTTCCTTCACCGCCGAGCACGTGGTAGATCAGCACTTAAAATTGCAATTAACAATTTCATTGGTGCCGGCGGGGATCGAACTCGGTTTGCTTGCGTACTACAGCAAGCGCTAACCATCTGAGCTACCACGGCTAATACCACAGTGTTGGTTTTAGTAATTATAAATCCATAAGTATTTAGTATTTGTGTTGTTTTATATGTAATTAGTTATGATAAAATGGAGGAAGATCCTCCCGATCCCAATGGAATTCCATGTGCCTCCAATACTATTCCCAAAAAAAGTATACCTATTGAAATCGAACTATCGAATTATAAAAGACCACAGGTATCCAAAGATTCAGAACATCCTCATCATCATCATCATTACAGCCCTTCACAAGTCCACTGCTGAACTAAGGCCTCCCCCAAGGTATGCCACAAAGCACGGTCCTGAGCCATTTGAAAACCATAATGAAAATGCCAACATGAAAACGTCTTCCAATGCAGCGGTGAAGAGTTTCGGGGAAATAACGTCACCTTGTCTTACACCTCTCTGCAGTTGGGTAGGTTTCGTACTCTGGTTCTGTACTCGGATGGCCATTGTAGCCCTACTGTACAAACACTTCAGCAACTCGATATACCGACAGTCAACTTGGCACCGCTGAAGAGACTGTAGCACCGCCCAAATTTCGACGGAATCAAAGGTTTTCTCATAGTCCACATACGCCAGGCAAAGTGGCAGATTGTACTCCTCGGATTTCTGTACAATTTGCCGAAGGGTATGTATGTGGTCTATGGTACTAAAGCCTTTTCGAAAACCGGCTTGTTCGGGAGGCTGGAAGTCGTCGAGTCTAACGTGGAGACGATTCATAATGACTCTCGAACAACACGTAGACGCGGCTCAGAAGGGATATTGGTCTGTAGTTCTTCAAGAGGGTGTTGTCACCTTTTTTGAAGAACAAGACCACCGCACTTCTGCTCCACGCCTCCGGAGTAGTGCCACCATGTAGGGCGGAATAAAAGAGCCTCTGAAGGACTTAAAGTACTGGTTTTCCACCCGCTTTCAGAAGCTCCGCTGTAATTCCATCCTCGCCCGGGGACTTGCCGTTTTTAAGGTGCTGGAGAGCCATTCTAATCTCGCTCAGACTGACGTCTGGGATATCATCGGAATAGTGTCGGATAAGACTTGCTCTGGGCTCGTTACTCACACTTGCGTGTGGCTCCGACGATGATGTGTACAGCTGACCATAGAACCTCCTAATTTCACTCAGAATCTCAGGTGTCCCGGAAACGATGCTGCCATACAGCAGACACAACATGCACACACCATGCCACACAGAACATCCTCAGAAAAGATTAATTACAGATCCATCTCAACCTGTACCATCTATTCAGTCTTCTTATATTGATCCTGACTACATAAACAAAAAGCATAATGCCCAATACATATTACTTTCCAAAATCCACATAACATAAACATCACATGCAAGCAATACTCTAATGATGACAATGCACCCTTTATTGTACGTGTTAGATTGTAGATGATTTATCATCCGGAATAGTTTTAAAACCGATAAAGTTTGGTCATTTTCTCTACCATAATATATTGTTACGAGCTTGAGGTTCGTGACAATAAAAATTGCCGATAGAATTACCTAAATTAACACTTTAATTCACTTTACTAATTAAAGTTAAAAACACTAATAATTAATCACACTGATTCACTTTATTCCGCTCCGAAGCTTCGCTTGTCTCGCCAACTTCAATACTTCCCCGATCGCGTATTGCAGCGCCTTTATATAGGGCTCTTCCACGAAAACATCCAGAATATTCCAAAATATTCGAGTAAATACGCGCGCCAACCGACCAAGCGCAGAAAGATCGAGTGTAGAGCTTCTAGAAAGTTTAGTTCTTCAATTTGATACTAGATGGCGCTGTCGGTAAAAATTTGTCATGTCATTTTCTGGAAAGCTCTCTCCTCGCTCTGTTACCCGACACTAGATGGCGCTAGTGCCATGAGATGAGATGTCAACTTAGCCGCGCAACAATATTAAAAATGTTGTTAGTGACGTTGTTAAGCGAATAGGGCACATTAGAATCTCAGTGGAATTTAAAAGTGCAGCTGATGCAAATTGTTTTATTGAGAGCCCTGCTCTTGCAGGTGCTAAATATAATACTGTAATTCCCTCCTATAATGTCACTCGCATGGGAATAGTGAGGCAGGTCCCTGTGGAGTGGACATTAGAGGAATTAATTTCGTCAATCAAGGTCCCAGCTGGTTTTGGCTCAATAATTAAAGCTCGCCGATTTAATAGAAAATCAGTTAGCAAAAAACCATAGCACTGTGTGGATTCCCTCTCAAGCAGTTGTTTTAACTTTTTCTGGCCAGAAACTTCCTTCTAACATTTATTGCTTTTTCACTTCAATGCCTGTTGAGCCCTACATTTTACCACTTATTCAATGCCTTAAATGTTGCTGTTTTGGACATGTTACTTCACAGTGTAAGTCATTTTCCTGTTGTTTTGTGTGTGCTCAAAATCATGAAGGAATATCATGCACAAGACAGCCTCCTACTTGCCTTTTTTGTTCAGGATCTCACACAGCTAAAGATCCTTCCTGCCCTGAACATTCTAGGCAGAAATCCATCAAGCTTGCAATGTCCCAGGAGAATATTTCCTATCTAGAAGCTTCTGCCTGCTTACCCCAAGTCCGGAGAACTTATGCAGATACTGCTAGATCCCTTCCTTCAGATATTTATCAGAGTCTCTATCCTATTTCAAATTCCTCTTTACCTTTTGTATGATTTTTGAGAAATTAAATGTCGATCATTACTTGTGATAAATTTTCGACCCTTATATCTGCTTCCAAATTCACCCTTCTTAGTTCTCCTTAAATCTCTCCAAAATAGTGTACTCACATCTTCTTTATTTTATTATAATCTTAATCAGACTCACTTATTTGAGTAGGAACTACAGTGAATATTCCGGACTTGTAATAATGTGTTAGATTCTTTGCCGCTCGGTTGCCATATATGGTTAATGCAATTAAAAGCTTTTCCTTGCTAATAATTTTAATCAATATTCAGGACAATTACTTGTTGAAAGGAAAACAATTACTAAACCATATATTCTTCTTCATGTCTTATTTAAAATATCGTAGAACAAGTCAGAATAAAAAAGTAATATTTAAATGTATAGTCGTAGCCAATAACTGCCAGTATTTTTCAAAGACTAATAATGTATAAGAATCTATAACAGCAGCTTTTAACTAACTTAACTTAACTGTTCCTGATATTACTTTTCCCAATAGGATCAAACAAATGTCTATGATCTACTTATGCTAGATTAAAAGAACTAGTTTAGCCAAGTTTGTCCCAATTTTTTTGGAATTGATCCCTCGAGCTTAATACAAATATTACAAAAGGACACTACAATTTTATGTATATGTAACTATATAAGCTATCTCTAAATCTATTATTACCATTGTAAACTTGACCTGTATGTTTGAATAATCTGAAATTCAATACAGATTATAAAAATACTTATTGAAAGTAATTTTTTACTCTTACCACTGTTTCGGATAAAACCTCTGTCCTGGGAAGAACCATTAAGAAACCCAGCGGGACTTTTTTTTAAATACAATCAATTTGCAATATATTACTTTATACAATTGGTATGAAGACATAAGAAACAGCGTGGTAGCGATCACCTCATTCCCAGAGTTATTATTAATCATGTACTCTTGGTTTCATCCAAAAATGTTGATTGGTGTCATGAAATGGTTCAAAGATTTAACGGAGTGACTCAAATGCTGTGTTCGACATACTTACGGGTGACGAAAGCTTGATTTATTGTTATAATCCTGAAACTAAGAGACAGTCTGCAGTCTGGGTGTTATCTTCCGAGGAGTTGCCAACTAAAGTGAAGAGTGGTCGACGCGTGGGAAGAAAGATGGTGGCCTCGTTCTTCGGAAGGACAGGTCATTACACAACAATTGTTTTAGAGGATCGAACAGTTACTGCAGAGTGGTACACTAACAATTGTTTGCCACTTTTATTGGATCAAGTTCGGGAGAAACAACCTCACAGTAGGATCCTACTTCACCACGACAATGCCTCGTCGCATACCACCAAGCAAACAATCGACTACTTGGCGATATCAGACATGGAATTACTGGATCACCCGCCCTATAGTCCCGACCTCGCACCTTGTAATTTTTATTTATTACCGAAAATGAAAGAAAAACTTCGAGGGAAACGTTATATAGACGCCGAGGAAGCAGAGGCAGCGTTTCAAAATGCCGTCGAAGAGACACCTAAGGCCGAGTGGTGGCGATGAAACCACAGAGAAAGTCAAGGTGCTTTTCTCTGTGGTTTCATCGGATGCAGCGATGTATTGATGTAAATGGACACTGTTTTGAAAAGATATAATAAAACGAATAACTTGCTATTTTTTTCAGTCTTTGATTTTCGAAGAACTTTCAGTGTCGCCCTTGTATATATTAATATGTCTATCAATCCTCAATTGAGAATCAAAATGCACATGCATTGTCACCCCTTTGGACTAAGATGGCATTCCTCATTTCCAGTAAGAGTCTCTGGTTCTCTGCACTGAGCATATGAAAAAACAGCATTAAGCAATAACTTCCTTGATTAAGCCAATCTATACATGCTACAACCATAATATAGCTGCAGATATACTAAATAACTGTAACTGTATAACTCAATGTTGAAGATTTATTTAAAAATATGCTGGAACTTTACTGTTTACTATACTACTAAATAGTACATGCATATATATGTATAATAATTTCTAATATTTCAATTAAACATAATAATAATCTCTAATTGATATTGGGTAAAGCCAGCTAATAATATACAAATTATTTAACTGTGTTGTTGTCATAATGATATAGGCTATATTTTACTAAGGATAAAATATTTAGATTTTAAATTTGTGATTGCATGTCTTGTGCTGCCTTTAATAATGATATTCCTAACAATTGAACATTGCAAAGTTGTAGATCAATGCTACAACTGTATTAAGCCTGCAGCAAGAATGTGTTACAATAAAAACAATGTCCCCCGGTCACCAGACCCATTTGTGACAATTATAATATAGCTGCAGCATGGCTCTACCATATTACATATAATTTAATACAGTCATTAGCTTATTTGTTTTTTCAGATAAAGAAGGTAAAGCCATACATTTAAGCTATGAAGATAGGTTGAAGCTTGTGGCATATACACAGCAAACTGCTCATGGGCCACTAGATAAAAATTCCGCTGCACCACTTGGAGTTTTGGATGTTATTGGTCGCGACCGACGTGCTGCATGGCAGGCTCTAGGACAAATGTCTCAGTACCAAGCAATGGCTGGATTTGTACATGCCTTAGACAGGTTTGCAGAAATTATTATCTTTATATATAGCATAGCTTATTGTGCTATAACAAGTTAACATGCATGGCTTTTTATCTTAAACTCCACTTTTTATAATGTCATGGAATTGTGAATATAATTTGGACTAAACATAAAATTGGGTCACAGTATTAAATGTTTGATTACTTGAGATTATTGGTTTATGTTTCAATTTTCCATATATGTCAATAATAATAATGTGGTTTTGTTTGATAATAAGAACTTTTTACAATTTTGAGATAATATCTAGATACATAAGAAGAAACAGCCTGTTAAAAATCCTACTGCTTGGCACACATATCTCATTTCTGAGAGAGTTTTCAGAACAGAGGAGAGGCCACCCTAATGTCTTTTAGACAACTTCGAATTATTATTGAATGCAGGTTTCTACATAATGTTTTTCTGAAATTCTCAACACACAATGAATTAGCACTTGAAATTGCACTAAACAATTAAGGTGGTGCTGACGAGGTTAGAATTTGTGTGCCTGTTTGTACTATATACTAATAATAACTCCGCCCATGCAATATTATTATAGCTCTATCTATATTTAACAATTCCATCATACTTATATTTTTCATATACATAGGTAAATTAATAGTATTGTTATTCATGTTAGTAAATATTTTAGGGACTGTTGTCTACAAAAGATAAGAAGTACAAGATTATCTATATATATTCTAGTAAACTACTCTATTTCCTTTTATCATACCATGTATATTAAATATAAACGTAGATTGCACTATTAATCATACTTTTTCTGTTAATTGGTAAAACTCTGCAACCATGCCTTTTGTACCCAACTTTGCCTCATATAATAATTTATCATTAGTACAAGTATTCCATGTACAAACATAAAAATATATGTAGTTTTTAATTAATTATTTAGATACTTAAAAAATCGGCCACCATGTTTATATTAATAGAAACTCCATGACAAACACCTAACAAACGCAATTTGTTTGATGGCTTTAATGATAAACTATTTTGGTTAAAGTCTTCTTACGACTTTGTGGAATTGGCTACCATCTCATTTTTTCCAACCTGATGACCTTCTAAGACTAAGAGACCTAGAAAGCTGCTGCAGAGAGGTGTAAGACAGGTTGACGTTATATCCTTGAAACTTTTCACTGCTGCATTGGAAGATGTTTTCAAGCTACTGGACTGGAAAGGATACGGTATTAACATCATCGACGAGAATATCACTCACCCTTGATTTGTCAGCTATATGGGCTATTCTCGGGATTTCTCTGCATGATAAATTTAGAAATAAGGATATCTGCAGTAGAACCAGAGTGACCGACATAGCCAATGGATACTAATCCATTTGCTATGCTAAGCTGAAATGGCAATGGACTGGCCATATAGCTCGAAGAACTGACAACCGGTGGGGAAGAAAGGTTCTTCAGTGGCAGCCTTGCACAGGTAGTCGAAGTATAGGGCGACCCCCACTTGATGGAGTGAGAACCTGGTAAGACATGCAGGAAGTTGATGGAAGCAGGTGGCTCAAGACCATGCTTTGTGGCAGGCATTTCTTGAAGGAGGCCTATGTTCGGCAATGGACTTATGAAGGGCCGTAATTAGGATGATGATGATGATGGTGTGCTAATTTGGTGCTGGTACTTCCTGAGAGTGTGGTCCTTCCCTAATCAGGCCTACCCATGCATATGCTGCTGGCATGAGTGGTTTACTGCATATTAATATTATTCATGAACAAAGGAATTGTTGTCAACAGGTTGTGTCCGTTATTCAAACCATACTTAGAAGCCATACACAAGGACTTAGAAGACAAGAAACATCAGGAGTAAGTGTTTTAACTTAATTTTGATCGATCCAAACATTTGTGTGATTTAGCTAAACATTTTAAGTGTTATTACAAGATCCAGCTTAGTTACAATAACTGGGTAATAGTATAAATAAACATCATTTGAACAGGGAGATATAAAAGATTTTGTTATGTGCATTTCTTATTTCATGTAAACTTTGCACATGGGCGTAAATTAGTTTGTGCTGAATAATCAGTCACAGCTCATAATAAACATTCAGAGTTCATACATACCAAATTATTTATATAATTTGTAATAATTTCAGATTAAAGAAACAAGAGGAAGAGCGGGCTCATTTGGAATTACAAAATAGAATAATTCTAGAAAAGCAAAAACAACAGAGTACAAAGTTAACAGAAGACCAGCAAGTGTAAGTGAACTTATATTACTTATATAAATCGTTAAGTCCTTTCTTTATTGCCTTTATTGAAAAAATAGTAAAAATTTTATGTTAACTACATAAAATTTTCACTTATTGTTGGCCTGGATTTTATTGTACTTTTAAATGAAAGTTTGCGCTTTGAAATTATTCGTAATAATCGTAATAGAAAATATTCGTGTGAGAAATTGATAAAAAAAATTCGAGGGCATGTGAAATCATCAATTCTTACTGGAGCAGCGTAGCTTACGCCTTTTTGCTCCTGAGAGATTTTGGAAGATTTGCTCTCAAAGGAGCCTGCGGCTACCGCCACCCGTTAACGACTTCAATACCGTGGGAATTGAAGGGAACAGCCTTTTAAAAAGGAGCTAGTAAGTCTATCAGCCCAGAGATGTGAATATTCCATGTGAGGTAAGTTGCAAGCGATGTGCCGACATATGAAATATTGCCCGGTCTACTAAGCACGCCAAGATTATTTTTATATATATACAATATGTAACGTAATTAACGCACACCCTCAGACACTCCAATTAGTATATTATGTTATAATCATAATACATACACTGAATTTATAGTTATACATTTTTATGCACTGATTATTTATCGAATTAGTTATACTAATTCCGGAAGAATGTTGTGGAACATAAAGACTTTAACGTGTTTGAAATAAAGTTCATTTTTATTGAATGATAGAATTAGTAATAATACAAATAAAACTGCACTCTTAAAAGTCTTATTGCCTTAAGTTACGATCCATTTCAGTTTATTTTTACTGTACAGATTTAGTGTGACTGTAATTTACGTAGTTTTAATTATTTTTGGGATAAAAAATTACCCATTTTAAAAATGATAGGAATCGATTCAGTAAACGATTCTGAACAAATTACTTTCTCAAAGTGCGTTAATTATGTTACGTGTTGTATATATATATATTAGGTCTATTTGGCCTTCCTTTCCGCGCAAGTGCACGTCACCTGATATGATGCTAGTTAAGGCAGCAAGGGGTATCCTGAAATTAAGGAGGACGTCAAAGTGGTTCTTTTTTATGATAAAGGCGCAAACCTATGTCGTCTGAGTGTTAAACTGGACTAGATTCAGCTCTTCGTAAGACTTTGTTTAACAAAGACTACTTCAGGCACAAATCTGATCTAGATCACTGCTTATTAATTTTACTAATAAGCCATGATAGCTGAAGGATAAACGCTTCGCACTACGCGAATCTTGGATTCGATCCCCGACAGCACCAAAGAAAGTAATTGCAATTTTAAGTGTTGATTTTGCCACATGTTTCATGGTGAAGAAAAACAGTTTGTAAAATCTGCATATCTGAAAGTTAAATATTACAAAGACATGTGTAGTCCAAGTGACGGCCATATCGGTCTGTGGCGGCGCTGTCGTCGTGCCACAAGCGAAACACACCGAAGCCTAAATCGCGCTATCAAAATTCCGAAACTAGAATATCTCCGAACTATCACACAGAGTGTTGGCCACTCCCCGGGCAGAACACCTTGCCCGGCGGGAGATCTCCCTTTTTCCTTCACGTCCACAGTGGTGACCCCGACGTGATATGAACACGCAACCAACTACCTTCGGAAACTTCAAGCTTCATCATCGTCATATAGTACCCCACCCTATAGCTCCCAAGCAAATATCGTCTGCAGTCTTCATATCCTGCAAGCCATCTAGCTTCACAAGGTTCATCGCAGCACTGGAATAATAATGCTTCCTGTTCCTTCAAGCTACTCTCTGCGCTATAGAGTGTTCGGCACGGCTCTGAGCCTTACAGCTCGCCTCTGCTTCACGGCACTCTCGCAGATTACTTGCCTTCTTCTCGACTCACCGCAGACTACAAAGCAATCTCCTGGCACTTGCACATTCGTCGGCAATGAGGTTGCACTATCGATCCTAGGTCTGAGCAGGGGAGTGATGTGGCGGCGCTGTCGTCATGCCACAAGCGAAACACACCGAAGCCTAAATCGCGCAATCAAAATTCCGAATCATAAACAGTATATATACATCTCCAAACTATCACATGGAGTGTTGACCGCTCCCCGGGCAGAACACCTTGCCTGGCGGGAGATCTCCCCTTTTCCTTCACGGCCACAGGTCCATAACCTTCTTAGAAATGAGGGGAGGCCTCTGCAGTGTTGCATCTATATAGGCTGTAATTTAAATTAATTTTTTTTAATAACTTTATTGTTATCTTGCCTTTACAGCCAGCGAATAAAAGACGCTTTGAACGCACAAACATACGATCAATTCCTTCAGTACGCCCAGCAACAGTTCCCCGGAAATGTTGACCAGCAAGCAGTTCTAATACGGCAGTTACAAGATCAGCATTATCAACAGTATATACAGCAGCTAGCCGTCGACAAAAGGCTTGCTAGTTCCAATTTTAATAACAAAGAAGATGGCGATAAGGAAAATGGAAATATAACTGAAGAAATAGCTGATGATTGCAATTTCAACAAGTCTGAAGCAAAAGAGCTTACTGATAACAAGTGAGTGATTAGAAGCACTGTTCTGTAAAATGAGCAATTTTTCTTTAGTATATTTGTAGTTTTGTTTTCTAAAGCTGCAGTTTGGTCATATTTAATTTTAATAAGGCATAATATTAAAATATTTTTTATTGATATAGGAGGCAACTATATCAAATATCATAAAGAATGAAATAACTGAATATAGAAGACTAAAAATTAATTTGAATTAAGTAAATGTGTTCTTGGTTTCAGATCGATGCAAACATCAAACAAAACACAGACTTCAGAATACATAGAAGAGTCAAAAGTTGAAGAGGAATCAGAAGATGGTAATTTACAAAATAAAATATATTAAATTGTGTAATTTTGCGGCATTCTTGTTTAGACAATTAAATATCCTTGTTTTTGGTTGTTATCAATATAAACAATATAAATCAACATTGCAGATGGTTTCCCAGCGGTAGAAGAAGCCAGAATGTGGACGCGTGGAGACATTAGTCAATTTAAGGAGTCCGCTTATGCGGGTGGTGGAAGATTGACTGTGGGCCAAGGCGAAACCGTCACTGTTAGAGTGCCGACACACCGGCGCGCACGTTGTCTGTGCTGGGAGTTCGCCACCGACAACTACGACATAGGTACGTTACGAGTTGCAGTTTACGTACCGACATTCCGACGCACACACCGTCTTCGCTGGGAATTTATATCCATTCGTTTCCATATTATATGGTTTTTTATTGAAGCAGCATTGAGCAAACAAAATTTTGTTTAGCATAATTTTATACCTATAGAGACTTTTTAATCAATATAGGTTATAAATATTAATTAATGTCCTTCAGACCGCATTTCGGCCACGGCGGCCTGCCTCAACGGAGGCTAGCCATCGGATTATAGTGCCCAAGTGTATGCACATGCACAGGTGCACTCTCATAATCCGATGGGACGGTAAACCGACACGACCGGAGAGAGATCAGGCGCAGGATCAACGGCTTTACGTGCTTTCCGAGGCACAGGGGTGAGATACTGCGAATTTATTGACAGAAAAACTCAATAATTGATTTTTTTGGGCCGACCCGGGATTCAGACCCAGGACCTCATGATCAGCAGTCGCACTACTACAACCACTAGACCAACGAGGCAGTCAGATTATAAATAATACCTATTGAGGGTCACTCTTATGATTAATTTACCATTATTACAGGTTTCGGTCTGTACTTCGAGTGGAGTAAATCTCCGACAAGCGAAGTGACAATCCACGTGTCGGAGAGCGATGAGGACGACGATGCCGATGATGATGGGTATGGTGATGAAGGTATGTAATGTATGTATTTCTTGACTGAATTTCTATGCATTTAATAGCCCTACATATTGTTAATTTTATGACTGACCTTCATTATATGTGTGTGTATATATTATATGCTACAGTTAAAACCAGTTTTTAGACAGAACGCATTTTTCCAAATTAAAACAAGTATTTACTAAATGCCTTTGTTTTAACTAGAATCAACTAATGCTCAAAATTGAATATCAGCTAAAACTAGTTATTACTAGACAAAATGCGTTTTTCCAAAGCAAGTCAGTTAGAACTGTTCCGATCGAGGTTAAACGACCGAGGCTATGGTTGTGGATTTGATTTGATTGCGTTACTTTAGACTTTGACTTGCTTACTGGATCTGAGAATTAGCGATTATTATAGATAAGATAGGTGGAATCTGTACTAAAACCTCTGTGCGAGCCGCAGCGCCTGAGGCTGATCGCCGAAGGCCAATAAGCCGAAGCTGCGGAGGTGAGCATGGATGCCTACGATTTGGTAACCAAGGGCGACGGGGCTGCACTTCCCGCAGCGCCAAAGCCGTTGCAGAACAGTTGTGTCAATATTCCTGTGTAAAAAGCTTTTAATAAATATTTAGTAAGTATATCTTGTTTTCAATCCCCAATAAGTTTCTCTAGTGCTAGTTTTGACTAAAGCTCGGAGTTGTCACTCTGGCATATACATTTTACGTATACGAGAGGGTAAATGCCATCTATCGGAAACTATGAGGTCTTTTCGATCATTCCCATGGTCGTAGTCACCTCCAATTTTTGGAAGTTCTTTTTAAATTTTTCAGAATACACTATACAAGGAAACACAACGGATCTTGAAATAGGCGGCGAACGACGCACACTCAGCCATTCGCGGCCGCTCGTGAGCCTCGTCGTGCCGATATATCGCCGAGACTGTCACACAGAGGTATAGCATATTGTTATTTTATTATAATATAACTTGTACATCATGAAGCATTGAGTGGTAAAGCCTATTTACTATTTTCTTAAGAAACACCTACAATGAGGGTATCCTTGACTTTTTCTGCCACCAGGGCGGTGCCACTGTGCTACTACAGATTGCATAACGGGAGAAATTATTTTTTTAGAAAAGTGTTGAGATTAATGTTTCTTTTTTAAAATATTATTTATATGTTATGTTAATTAGATTGGAAATGGATATACCCAACTACGTATATTCCTAAACGTAGAAGTTAAAAAAGATGGGTGAGTAAAAAATTAAATAATAGATTTTTGTTCTTACTTAATTAAAAATGCTAGCACCTCAAAAATAAATTATTAAACTTGGAATTATATTGATCGGAAGGAATTGATTGGCGCCTCTATTCACTTCTCGCTCGCACACAGTCGCTATCTATACCCAAAAAAAACTACGTTGCGATATACGGTTTTCGTACGTTAAAATGTTGCAAGCAAATAATCACTACTTAATTTTGTGTAACTAACTTCAAATGTTTATTTTTGTTAATTGAGTCTGTGGAGTGTACACGCTCCAGCAATATTATGGTTGTGGCATGAATGGGTCGGCTCGACCGGGGAAGGGGACCACGCTCTCACAGAATACCAGCGTAATATAGCAGTTTAATGCTGCTGTGCTTCGTATGACGAGTGTAGAGAACCGTTTTACTGGATTCGAGGCATTCCATCTTAGTCCTGAAGGGTGACAACGCATCTGCATTTTGATTCTTAATCGAGGTTAAATGTAGATGTCTAGGGGCATAGCAGCCACTTACCAACAGGTGGACTGTGAGCTCGTTTGTCACCATTATCCTATAAAAAAGACAAAAAAGCATTTATTTTATATTTTGTATATGAGATATCTGATATATATATATATTAATGTGTAGTTAAAAGTGAAACACATTTGCTTAATATACAGACTTAAAATAATTATTCTTCGACCCCTATACATTATATTTATCCATAACACTCACGCCTGTCACCCAGAGGGGTAGGCAGAGACTACAGATTTCCATTTGGCACGATCCTGACACACCTCTCTCGCCTCCTTCACATCCATACACCTACGCATACATGCTCGTCGGTTAAGGGTACTCCTAATTTGGCCCGTTTCCAATAAGTCGCCAATTTGGTCGATAAATTTTCGCCTAGGACGTCCCTTTCCGACTCTGCCATTCACTTCTGCAACATAAATTTTCTTTGTCACTCTTTCCTCATTCATTCTTTCCACATGACCAAACCACCGAAGCATTCCTTTCTTAATCCTGGTCACAACATCATCTTGCAAACCACACTCTTCTCTTATTACACAATTTCTTACCCTGTCATTCAGATTCAGCCCTAACATACTCCTTAACGACCGCATTTCTACTGCGTTTATTCTACTCTCGTGCTTCTTCTGCCACACCCAACTTTCACTACCATACGTTAAAGTAGGGACCAACACAGCATTGTGAATTGCCATACGTGCCTTTTTCGACACATTTTGACACTTCACAATAGAGTGCAAGGCCCCACTTACTCTATTTCCCGCTTTCATTCGTCGTTCTATATCCTTATCATATCTCCCATCCCTGCTAAATACGCAGCCCAAATATACAAACTCATCTACTTGCTCGATCAACTCCCCTTCTATTGTTATTTCACAAATCGTTTTACTTTCTTCTCTTTCAAAAACCATAACCTTCGTCTTACTTGCGTTCACTTTCATACCCCTTTCTTTTAATGATCCGTTCATTAATGTAACCATCATTTGCAAATCGGCCGCCGACGACGGAAGAATGACTTGATCATCGGCGTACAAAAGGCATTTGACGGTTAACTCACCCATTCTTAATCCGCATTCTTCAACTTTCAAATTTTGCAAACAACTGTCCATAAAAAGGTTCAACAGCCACGGGGAAGCCACACAGCCCTGTCTGACACCTTTATGGATGTCAAACCAGACCGAGTAGACCCCGTTGATCCTAACACAAGCACTAGAGTCCCTATAAAGAGACTCCAATGCCTGTATCAAGCCAGCGCTCAACCCAAATGAGTTCTGTGTTTGCCATAGCAAATCCCTATCCACTCTGTCATAGGCCTTTTCCAAGTCCATGAACGCACAAAAAACCTTATGGTTTTTGGCCAGAAACTTCTCCGCGATCATGCGCATGGAAAATACTTGATCTGTACATCCCATTCCCTTTCTAAATCCCGCTTGCACATCCCAAATTTTTCCATCAGTTTCTTTCATGACCCTTTCAATCAGTACCTTAGCGTACAGTTTTCCCACAATGCTAAGAAGGCTGATGCCACGGTAGTTTTTACAGTCCTGCTGCGACCCTTTTCCTTTATATACTGGGACTATCACGGCTACCGGTACCCGCTTCAGTTCCCAGCATAAATTTAACAAGGTGTGCAGCAGGCCTGCCACCACCTCCTCTCCAGCCCTTAGCATTTCGAGTGAAACTCTATCATATCCGGGCGCCTTACCCGCTTTCATGCTTTTCATTGCTTTCATTATTTCATCTATAATTATCTCGCTACCTCTTTCCTCTTCTTTCGGAGTTTCTACTTCACTTAGTACACATGTTGTCTCCTCACTCATAAACACGCTTTCAAAATATTCCTTCCATCTCTTTAAACTCAAAACTTCATCATTCAGAATATAGCCATTCTCATCTCTTATAGCATTCATCATAGGCTGTTTTGAATGTCCCCTGGCAGTTCTTACCAGTTTCCAGAACATTTTAATATTTGCCTGGAAGTTATCCGATATTCTTCTATCATTCTTATCTGTTCTTTCTTGCTTTTTTCTTTCAACTATTTATTTTACTCTCTTATTAAGAAAATGTCTAAAGACCGCCTTTTTTCTTTCAATATCATTCGTACCGCTAGAATTACCAGCCTTTGTTGTTAGTAAAATAATTAAATATCTAGCCATGCTCTCTTCTTTGCTTCAACTTCCATACGTATCTCATCATCCCACCATAACGTATTATTTTTCCTTTCATTCTTTCTCTTACTAACACCACATACTTCGGTAGCTGCATGCACTAAACCTTTCTTTACATTTTGCCATACATTCTCCAAGTCTAACTCCTTCATACATAATTCATCCAAACCACTTATATTTTCTTTCAGTCTACATTTGAACTTGATTCTCTCACCTTCATCTTGCAACCTTTCTGTTCTAATACGCTGTAACGCAGTGGTAAACACAGATGACCGATGACGCCAACGCCTGAATAGGCCATTAATTCGGCATAAAACCAAATAATGATCCGTTCCTACGTTAGAACCCCGGTAAACCCTTGTATCCACCACTGCGCCCCTCAATCTTTCATCCACAATTATGAAATCTATCATGCTTCTATCGTCACCTCTTTCCCAAGTATACATATGAATCCTCTTGTGGCGAAAGCAAGTATTCGTCACAAAAAGATTCTTTTCCACACATACGGTGAGGAGACTTTCACCATTATCATTTATACTTTCATCACCAAACGTTCCCAATATCGTTTCATAACCAAGCCTCCTCACCCCAACTCTTCCATTAAAATCTCCTAGCATAATAATATTTTCATTTCCCTTACACTTCATTAACACCATCCTTACCATTTCCCAAAACTGCTCTCGGATATAAGTGGGCTTAGACATGTCTGGGGCGTAGACCCCTAACACGAACAACTTCTTTAAGCCCACTTTCATTCGTATCCATAGCAGTCCTGGGCTTACACATTCATACTCTTTCACACATTGGCCCATTCTTTCTGAAAGGATGATACCTACTCCCTGGCATGCCCGCTCGATCTCGTCTACACCAGACCAGTATGCGGTATACATGCCATGTGTAGTGACATCCTTCCCCTTCCTTTTCGTCTCATTTACGCATAACACATCTATTCCTCTATCATACATCATATCGCATACTTCATCCATTTTATCATTCATTGCCCCACATACATTCAACGGAGGCAGACGGGCCTCTGCAATCCACTTTTCGTCTCTCCGGCAGACAGAACGTGACGGGTGGCGAACCTCGTCGCCGGTTTTCCTCCCGGAGATTCTTCATATAAAAATGATTTAAAACAAATTACCATACCAAAGTTGTTTATGATTATTATCTTTCTAATTTTTTAACAAGAAAAGAATCTATTTAATAAAACACTCTTAGAGAATGGTTTGTGTGATGTATATTTTTCAAGATAAAATAAATAAAATTGACTTACTGCATTAAGACCGTTACCGTTACAGCTTATGAAAGTTCACTGCTGAACGTAGACCTCCTCTATATATTGCCTCTTATGATACATTATATAACTTATTTGCCATAGTTGCCACGCTTGGCAAGCGGGTTGGCAACCGCAGCTTTTTATTTTTAGTCGTTATTAGGAAGACACTGCTGCCAGTCTCCAGATTTGGTTCTCTCTGTCGCCTCTTAGACGACAGCCACGGAATTTTAATACATATTTATTTGTAAATAGCGTGAAATTTGGCATTTTCTAAATAATTTGCATGCGAAATTTAGAAACGATTGTAACGTCAAAACACATCTCGTGTTGACATTTATACGTGTGAATTGACTTGTTAGTGGCATTTTAGTGGCTACACGGGCTCCGCCCACTCCCCTGTTCTATTATGTATGTATTATAGTATTCTATGTTCGTACATCGCTACTACACGGTAAAGCATATTTTACAAAATGTTTACCTACTCTAAAGCTCTGACAACAAATAAGTGTAGTGTCAACAAAGAGGAAATCAGAACGTCTGAGAAGCTGAAAATGTTGAATGACATCAAAAGTCTGTCAAATCACACTGGTAGTATGCGAGGCGGCCGACATTAATTGAGACCTGTTCTCTATAGTGAGACGTATGTATGTGAATTGTTACTATATTATACCTCGGCCTTTTTGTGATTTGCAGGTGTACGCGGGCTCCCACACGTACCCAGGCGAAGGCGTGTATTTATTAAAGTTCGATAATACTTACAGCCTTTGGCGATCAAAAACGTTATATTATAAAGTATATTACACTCAGTAAATGAATTATCGATTATATTAGGTAATGAAATACATAATTTTATTAGCCATGACAAAATATATGGAAAATTACAAAAAATATTTAGTTATTTGTTATAAAAATAAGACAAAATTTTATATATTACTGGAGAAGTTATTATTTGAATGTGCAATAAGAGCTTACATAGAATCCTTAAGTATGAAATTGGTGTGAAATTCAAATTGATACATTACCTACGTACCCCAGTACTGTTTATGGAATGAGATATTTCTTAGAAATATGTGTTGTATCTTACTTTAAGTTATTTATCACTTTAATATGGTGATTTAATAATATTTATCTTAGCGTAAAACTGTTTTATTATGCTTAAAAATATATAAGAAACAAGTCTAAACTATAGATTTTTTAGATTTTTGTTGAGTTAGGTCCAAATAATGAAACCTCTGCTTTCGTAAAATGTTTCACTATAAATATTGAATATTAATTTAGAAAAATAGGATGTATTTTATTTAAAATAATTTTTTTCTTTGCATTTCAGTTCATTCATTTAAATACGATTTTGATCAATTGTTTAGAAAACAGGAAATATTTTTCTCTTGTTTCCAAGTAGTCAGAAACTGTGCTGTGTTATATATTATTTTTATAATTGTTAATTATATATACATTGTTGCGATACAGTTGTCGTACTTTAAATTAATTAAATGAAAAATAAAATAATACATAAATGAATATTAAATATATTCGATTTATTTTAGTAATATTTCATTACTTATCTGCAAGCCAAAAATGAGATGGAAACAGGCGTATTTTATTCATATTATTGTTGATTCAGTTGAGCTATACATTTTTCATACATATTTAACGTGTAAATAACTGGAGATATTATACTCCACCAAATTAAGTGAAATACCTTTTGACAGCTGTCACGTATATTGCATTCGAACTGAAAAATCGTTTCCTACAATATGGTGCGTTTGGCAGAAAAGCCACCGAAAAAAAAAGGGGCGGGAGAGGAAGCCAAAAAGCGGAAAATTTTCTCACCAAAAATCTTGTTTTAAACAAAGCAAATAATTTATTATATTTAAAAACTATCAATATATTTATATTATTTTTTATTTTTAAAAAAAAAAAAAAAAAACATATAAAATAAAAAAAAAAAAAAAAAAAAAAAAAAAAAAAATGGTGGTGTGTGTCGACACCGAAACAAGCACCACACGCAAGCCCAAAATCTTGGCTTGCTCCTTTCCACCATTCGATTCTTAAGATAAATAGATATCGATTCTTTAGAGTTGTTAATCTTCAGAATAAGTTAGGAACAGATAACTCAAGACAAAAATTATCAGTTTTTTTTTCTTCATATTTATTGCTTACTGCTAATTTCTAGAGATAGTTATATACACATCAATACCACACACGTGTTTTTTTTAATGTTTCCTTGAAATCCTAGCCATCCAAAGGTTGTCTTAAAGAGATCACTCTTAGCGAGAAGTGTTATCTATCTGTCTATCTATAAATTTAAGACTGCACTAGATTAAAAAAAATTGAATCACTTTCACTACGGTTTGAAGGATTGTCATTTAAGTTAATGATAAAGAACTATACATGTAATGAAATATAGGTTTTTCAAATCGTGTGAGTACACTTGTACAAAGTTATTGCGGAATGCGTAATGTGAAATGTCAAAAGGTATTTCTTAGATTTGGTTTAGTAGGTTATGTTTCGTTAATTTACCACTTAGAGTTCTAATATTGTGTAGGCGAATAATATATAACTACCGTTATATTTTGTGGATTATCTGTATGACAATATTAATTGTGAAAAAAAACACTATTCATACAACATATATCAGTGTTAACATTTGAGCTCTTTTGTTGTATGTATACTGTATATTTTAAAATTAATTATTATATAAAGTACATATTAGTTATTATGACAAAAATAATATAATAATTTATGCCCAGAATCGATATAGGCTGAAAGAATATTACAATACATTATTTTTATGTTGTTGTGTTATAAATATTATTAATTATAATTATTAATAATCTAAGATTGCCATCAAATCTACTTTTGGCAGAATTTTGGAAATTATGAGTGGTATAAGCTAATTTGCTTAAACAAAAAGATTTTTTTAATGTGGTGTTGGTACCAAATTTTCTCAGAGACAGATAGATAATTTAAGTAAGAAATGTTATGAAATAGGCAATAGCGAAATGTATCTTGTAAACTCCTTTAAAATACTTGTTGTTTAATTCCGTTTAATATTTTAAACTACGTACTTAATATTTCTACGCATACCCGCCCCACGAACCGTGGTAGGTAGCTCGTGGACTCAGCGCTCGCTGTAAATTTCGCAGTGCGCGAGCAACTCGGGTTCGATCCCGGCAGGCACCAATGAAATTGTTAATTGCAATTTTAAGTGCTGATTTACCACGTGCTCGGCGGTGAAGCTAAATATCGTGAGATGTTGTATGTCTGAGAAATAAGAAAAAAAAAGGAGAAGTTCGCCAACACGCATTGGGGCAGCGCGTTGGACATTTCCTTACTCTAAAACCCTCTAAAAAAAGGAGAAAGCCTGTTCCCTGCAGTGGAACGTGTATATGTTGTAACTTTAACTTTTAACTTTATACCCGCCCCACGGTATACCCGCCTCACGGGGGCAAGGACGGGCTATGTCCGACTCGCACCGACAAAAACCCTATGGTGTTTCACCTTCGCCGCATATTGGGAGGGCGGCAGGTAAGATGCGTCAAGAACACAGGGCGCGCCTTCCTCCGCAGCCTCTAACTTCATCTGCGTAACGGACCCTCGAGCCCGATACGTAAGGACCATGGGGCCAGGAAAAAGTGATAACTCGGAAGCCCCAGCTTTTCTTGCAGCAGCATTCTATGGCTTCGCCGCCAACCGAGTTTCGGTGGGCTGCGGGGGGAAGGGAGAGCGGATACCATCGCATTAACGGGGCGCCGCCGCCAGAGTCGCGAAGGATAGGGCGAGTGCCGCATCGCCATACCAATACTCCTCTTCCTCCACAACTCCGCCTCACCTGCGACGGGAAGGGGGAGGGAACACCCCTCCAACCACAGTCCACCATCCGAAACCCACTCGGAGCTATTACCTCGGCCCTACATGTCAGGCCAGCCAAGTCGGTTCCTCTGTTTTCACCTTGGGAGACCAAGCCACGGCTACTAAACCCCTCCCCCCGCATTGAAGCTTACACTGTGTTGCAAACTGTATGTCAATTTTTAGTGTGTATGTCAATTTTTAGTGCCAATGTCGTGTTCGCATTTCGTCGTATTCTTTTTTGTTTGATTGAATAGCCGTGTAAGTTGTCATATTTCACTCGTGAATAATTTTACTAATGGTTTATTGGATTAATACCAGAAAACCTTTTTATCTCTTTGTAGGCTTGTACAAAAATTAAGTGTTGCTATATGCAATAAACTACAGACCTCTAGTATACAATAGGTATAGTAGTAATATTAACATAGCCGATGCATAATGATTTCTTATAAAGCGAACACTACACATTTAAATGAAACTAGTTTTTGCGGATTTTATCGCGTATATTAACTTTTTTATATTTCCGACGTTTCGAACACTTTACAGCACCCACGGTCACGGGCGGAGATAAAATCCGTAAAAACTAGTATTATTTAAATCGCCGACTCATTTAGCTTTTGTTATTGATTGATATATGAAAGTTTTACACTAAAACGCCTCTTTCTTTACTTGTGAAACTACGCACGATGTAACAAGGAATATAGCTCGCTTCGTGATAATAATGATTTTTTTATAAAACAAATTAATGATAAAACCTTTTACTTACCTAAAAAAATCGATCTATTGCTATTTTAAAAATGAATTTTCGCTTAGGTTTACTTTTATTTATTTTTATAAACAAAATATCAAATGAAAGCAGTGTTAAGAGGGCTTCTTATTCCTATTTTATGGAACCATTTTGTGGTAACAATGTTTTGAAGGTGATGGTGTTAAAACTGATCTGCTGAAGAGACTTTTTTTGAAGATTCGAAATGATTAAATGAAGTTTTTTTTATTAAATCCGGCTGTATTAAAACTTAACAATCATATAGCATAACTCAAAATATTTTTTACTTTTTTGTTTATTTTTATTCGTAAACAAAACCTTACTAAACTATACTACGTAATGTTATGTATTATAACTTATAGAAAAAAAACTAAATACGTCCATGTATTTCGTCAGTATCTGTCGTCCTATAGTCGCGAATAGAAAAACTCACTTCACTTCACTTCACTTTTCGATGATTATTTACGTGAATATTCTTGCTAATTGCGGCAGTTATTTTTACTAATAAGGCGGAGCCTAGCCGGCTATCGCACCGTTACGTCTACCGGGTAGATATCGATATCTTACATATAAAAAATTTATTTTCTTATTCCTCTTAATTTTTGTTCCGTGTTCCAATAACAATAATTGAAGGACCTAAAATACGATGTCGCAATAATGTTAACAGACTGTGCCATTAACAAAAAAAAAATTATCTAGATACCTACATACATAATTTGTCCTTGCAATTTTATTTTCCTATTAAATGTTAGTAAAAATTTGAAATGTATATTCTTGTCATTATGTATAGTAATTAGTTTTTATGAGTTGTAAATATGTATGTTAGACTGCTTACTAAGTGTCATACACTTAAATATTATAATAAGTGTTATAATTAATTGTGTAGCAATAAACAATATTTCTTATGTTATAATATGTTTTCTTTAAAATAATAAACTCTACAGGTAATGAGACATTTAGGGCCGATCTTCATTTGTCGTTCACAGTTCGTTCTCGGTCTGATTTATTATATTATTGGAATGGGATTCGAGCGAAACTTGACTGATGCGAATAGTATGAATGCACACACATAATTTTTACTTGATAATATTTTATCAGACCGAGATTGGACCGAGAACGAACTGTGAACGGCATTATAATGAGGACCGGCCCTTAGTCATAGTCCTTAGGGGTGACAACACATCTGAATTTTAAT